ATTTGCACAAGAGGAGTACAGATCCGTTGATACCACCAAGAAGAAAACAAGAAAAGGTTTAGAATGCATGGATATTATAGAACTAGAAAAGGCTTACACTGGCAGCCTGTCAATAACTGAAAAGAAGAAAAAAGACCCTACTAGACTTTGTGAAGACAAAAGTGTTCCACCAATTTACGTTGATTCTAGCCAGAGTTTTAACCTTGTTTAACCTAAACGCTTACGCCTTTTTTGCGGAGTAGTGGTGGTGTAATAAAACGTGATCAATAATGTTTTCGTGGAGAAGTAGTGGTTTACTAAGGAGCAGGGGTTCAGAAGGTGGCGTGTTTGTATGATAGTGAAGGCGCACAAGAGGAGTTTTGGTAAGCTATGCCAAACATGTCGAAGGAGATACTTTAGACCAGCCATACATTAGTGACGGCTCTTAATCAGCATTTTTGGCGTGCAGTTGTTAGCTTATTTGATGGGGATATTTGATGGGGATGGGAGTTGTTTCTAAGATTTCAAAATACTCATCAGGAAGTTCATGTCCAGTGATGTGTAGAAGTTTAGCTGGAGGGAATGGAACTTTTCTTAGTGGAAGCCTGGTGAGTATTTGCCTTCGGCGATTGCAAGGTGTCTTTAATACTTGTTTCACTCCTGCTGAGGGATAGGATTCTTTCCTTAATAGGTGTTATATTTGCCAATATGTATATGTGTGCTGATGGATAGTGTCTGCTCACTCTCATCCAGGATCTGAGGATTTTTCTTTTAGTTGCCATAATGGCATTGATTTCATAGGGTTTAAGAGAGGCGTAGGTGCATGTCTTGTGTTCGATAATAGGATAATAATCTAATGAATGTTTTATAGGTGTGTAATAGTGTGTTTGGATGCCGTCTTGTCCAATTTGCCGAAAAGCACCGCCAGGAGATCAAACCTTTTTCTCACCCTGTCAAGGGTATCTTAAATGTCGTTTTTCTAGTTGAGAGTCCTGGTAAAATAAACTTCCAAATAGGAAACCGAGTTTCTGAGAATAAGGTCCTCTCCTAACGGAGTTATTCGGCCGTAGACGTCACGATAATTTGGAGATTTAAATAGAATTAGTTGTGTTTTGGAGGGATTTATGGCCACTCTCCATTTATTGCACCACCTAATGACTCTGTCTAGATAATTTTGTGCTCTTTCGAATACAGAGAGTTGTCCAAGTTCTCTATGTGGTCCTGACGTGAGGAGAGCAGTGTCATCAGCGTACAGTAAAAGGGTATCCGATCCATGCTGTGGGAGGGGGATGTCACTATTGTATACTATGTACACAGAATAATAAACAATCAGAAGGGCCACTCTCAGATGCCGCCTTTGAAGTTTTTCAGCACGCGCGCCATGTTTTAGGAGGACACAAACATATGATTTGTGAGGTTATGCAATTGTTTACATTTATGTTTAATTATATTATATTTATGTTATTATATTTAAAACTGTTAATATAATTGTATAGTATGTCTATGATTGCCGTAAGTCAAATAAACCTGGTTTTTTTTCCATGCACACCACATAAACAACACTGGTTCCCTTTAAAATCCTCGTAAAACATGGCGGAACGTCTGCGCGAAGGAGATGCGCGTACTTAATTTTCCGTGGAGAGTGGGCATTCTGTTTGTTTATTATTCTGTACTCCAGCTTATGGAGTGAAAGTTGTGGATAGGATGTTGCTGACTTTGATCCTGATAGTCCGATTGGAGAGATAGGAATTTATTAGTTTAACGAAAGGTGTGGGTAATCCAGCAAGATGGAGCCGACATTTAAAGCATTGTTAGTCATAATTTCATAGTCATACTACATTAAAATCATAAAAAACAAGTCTAAGGCCCAACATAAAAAAGAAGTCTAAAATCAAGATCTCGTAAATCAAGAACACAATAAAATTGTAGTTATATAAGAATCGTAAAATTATTTAATAAGTTTTGTAATAATATCAGCTTTCTATAGAGATGAGAGCATTCCAGCATACTAAAATAACATTCAAATGCGATTTTATTTAAGAGATAGACGAATATTCAACACTTATAGCAGCTCAAACGGATTGTCTAATCAAATTTTGCGATATTATCAATTGTGATTTAATTGTTTGACTGTATTATAGACGATGATGACCTTTCACTTGATAATTTGCGCGCTACATTTATTTGATTGCAGTGGCGTGCGCTTCTGTTCCAAACATAAAAAGTAATATTGCTGCGTAAACATCATGTTTTACAAAAGTCTGGTCTGTAAAAACCAGTGATATCTAGAATGCTTTTTATATATTTTTGATGTGTTGAAGTAGGAAAATCCACAACAGCGTTAAACTTATGAAATGAGCTACAACTTTTACACTTCCCTAGAAGCTGTAAAAACCGATCAAAAAGGGCAAACTTGAATACTTGGTACAAGATAGCAGATACTTCGTACTGCATTATCGGAAAAATAGAAGGAAACAGGGGAATTAGTAGCAAAAAAATGCTCTGAGAAACTTCGTTCATGGACTATAGTGTATTTTTATGTATGAGAGAGTAATAAAACAATAAATTATGTATGCAAATCCTTAAACTGTTGATACGGGTGACTCAATGAAAAACAGATATTTGTCAACAAGTTTACAGAAGTATATAGGAAAACAATTTTAAATTGAGTATGACCACCAGGTATAAAGGTTGGAGTAGAATAGAATACAATAGTTGTGAGGGTTACTAATCCCTAAATAAGGTTGCCAGTGTCGGAGTGATGGAGGTTAACAGGTACTAATGAATTTGCAAGAAATGTAAGATGTTTATTTTATTGCTTATATATAACCAATAAAAGTTTAATAAGTACCTACCTATTTGCAAAATAAAGTTTAATTCTTTAGATAAAATAAAACGTTTTATTTTATCTGAAATGAGTGCATTCCACGAAGTAAGGGTTTCAACAATCAAACATTTAATTCTTTAATTCCAGGAATCTACGACAGTAATTGACTAGATAATTACCTTCTAAACTTATTCCACAGAAAATGTGATAGTGGGTTTTTCCATTTTGTAGGAAGGTCCAAGCGGCGTATTCAAAATTCTTAACAGTTCACTAAAAGTAGGTACTTCAGTTGCAAGGTGCAGTTTATTGTGTATACTAGTGTTATGGAAAATTTGGAAGTGCCTTGTAAACGCCGAAAAATTGGTCCTTTAACAGTTAATGAAAAAACATTAATATTTAATTGTTTCAAATCATTTACAGACAAACGTTTATGTGAAAGTGTTGATGAGACCGTTGAGTTAGTTAGCAGTACACTTGGTGTTGGGAAATCTACGATTTACAGAGTTATTAAAGAAGAAAAATGTGGTAGTTTTCAAATGCCACGTAATGCTCCAGGGAAACCAAAATTTCAAATAGAATATCATTTTAAAGAAAGACTTCGACGGAAAGTGCATGAATTCTTCTTTAGACAAGAATTTCCAACATTGGATAAAGTTCTTGTCTCAGTTCGAGATGATAAGGATTACCCAGAAATGAGTCGAAGTACGTTATGGAAAGTTTTAAAAGAAATAGGCTTCCGCTGGAAAAAGAATCCCAGAAAGTCTATTTTATTAGAAAGAAGCGATATTGTCATATGGAGAAGACATTTTCTAAGAACCATAAAGGAAATGAGAAACCAAAAAAGAAAAATATTTTATCTTGATGAAACATGGATCAACGAGGGTCATACACCAAATAAATTTTGGCAGGATGAAACTGTTACAAGTCAAAGGCACGCTTTTGTAAATAACTTATCTACTGGTTTAAACCCACCATCAGGAAAGGGACGCAGGCCGATAATAGTACACATTGGCAGTTCAGACGGTTTTGTTGAAGGTGGTTTATTAACTTTTGAATCAACTCGTACCGGTGACTACCATGAAGACATGAACGCTGATGTCTTTCAAGAATGGTTCGAACAAATGATAGATCTTCTTCCTAAGAACTGTGTAATAGTAATGGATAATGCAAGTTATCACTCCAGACTTATAGAAGGACTGCCCACAACCAAGTGGTTAAAAAAGTCTTGCAGAATTGGCTGAGTTCAAAAAATATTACGTACCATCCCGGATCTATAAGAAAGGAACTTCATTCGTTGTGTGCCCTTCATAAAGAAAAATTAAAAAAATACGAAATTGATGAAATCGTGGAATGACAGTACTTAGATCCCCACCATATCATTGTGAATTAAACCCGATTGAACTGGTATGGGCACAGATAAAGAGTGAAGTTTCAAGAAAAAATACCACTTTTAAAATTCATGATGTTAAACAGTTGTTTTTGGAGGCCGTAAATAATGTAAAACCTGAAAACTGGGAAAAGGCAGTAAATCACACTATTAAAGAAGAGGAAAAAATGTGGAAGCTAAACAATATTACTGATAAAATGATCGAGCCAGTTATTATAAATCTTGGTTCTGAAAGTTCATCTTCTGAATCTGATTTGGATTTGTAACAAGTAGCTGTAAGTTTTATATTAATATTTTTATTCATCTATTTAACATACCTTAGACGGTTTTAAAAACTCTTTTTCTCTTTTGTAATTTTTAAAAATTAAAAAAATGTGAATTTTTTAAAACCCTTTTTAATGTAGGCCAGTCAGTTCTAATATAGTGTGTGATAAAAGAGGTCACTTTTGTTTACATACACATAACACTTTATAACACTGAAATAATTCATTTATTTTTTACAATTAATCAAAGTAATTTTTCAATTAATCTTGAGCACGCCCATGGAGTGGTCGAAGGTACCAGTTAAAATTATGCTAATTACTCTCTCGTTCATAAAAATAAACTATAGCATAAGAGCAGATAGTTACATACAGCATAAGAACAAAATACATATCGGCAAACTTTCATGGAGGCTACCAAAGCCTAAATCTGGATACAGGACTGAAATGAGAACAATAGTCTTATGAATACTCCTATTCATTTTCCTCACTCTCTATCGTTGTTTTCTTTATTTTGTATTAAAATACCTATTTTTTTTAATTATAGATGGTGCCAATAAACTTAAGACGCTGTTGAGTTTCGCCGTAGGAGGACTTTTGGGGGATGTTTTTCTGCATTCCTTGCCAGAAATTTGGGCCAATGACACCGTCACAAAATTGGGTAAGTCTTGATCTTATATACCTCTAAACAATTTTCGGGAATACGAAAAAATCTACCTGTTTGGTTTGACGAAGAATTAAAAAAAAATGATTTTCAATTTTGCAACCAGTCTCCAGTCCCCAATTTCGGGACTAGATCAGATTTTTTTCGTTCAAATTTTGGATCGTTGCCGGCTGTCTTCTGGTTTTAACTTGGTATACCATCGACACAGCGTTGGCGTTGGTGTTATCGAAGGATGCTACGAATAGCATGGGTAGACAAAATTACCAATATTGAAGTCCTTGATAGGGTTAATAAGAGGGAAGAAATTGTACAGACAATTAAGAGGCGGAAACTTGAATATTTCGGTCATATATTAAGAGGTCCTCGTTATGGGCTACTACGTTTGATTATAGAGGGCAAAATAAAAGGTAAAAGAGATGTAGGAAGAAGACGAACCTCCTGGCTACGAAATCTAAGGGAATGGTTTAGTCTGAGCTCTAGCCAACTATTTAGAGCTGCTGTAAGTAAAATAAGAATTGCCATGTTGATATCCAACCTTCGTTAGAAGATGGAACCTTAAGAAGAAGACCATCGAACGGATCATTCTCATCACATCGGATATTTCGTTCCCAATTTCTTATTCCTCGGTGAAAACATTATCTGTCCAGTGTTACCATTTTTCCTGTTCAAACAGGAGATCTACTTTTTTTTACAAGGAATCGACTGATCTTCTGTTTCTATTCGGAAATCTACTGTTTAAATAAAAAAAACCTGTAGTATTTTTAATACTTGTATTATAATTTATATAATGCTTCCCTGTATTATTTAAAAATTACTTGCAAAGAATGAGAAATCCCTAGAAATTTGTAATTGGAATTTGATACCTAAACCATAACATATCAACATCATTCTGTATCGGCACGTATGAGTAACCATAAATCATTCACACAATCTTAAACTTTTATGTAAATATTGTGACCTAAATACTGATGTGTGCCTTTGGTCCCATAAAATTTGAATTATGGATGTTTGGAATAATTATTACTTGACCATAATTATTTATTGCCAGGGTAATTAGTTGTCGTCTTGATTGTGAGCTTTGTTATTATTTGTCTGTTGAGTTCGTCAGAGGTATTGTGTTGAATTAAACTTATCGGGGTGAGATAAATAATATCGAGATGAGCAAAACTCCAAGCAACATGAGCATGTAATTCTTTAAAATTTTTAAATATATATGAGAACAAAAGTGGAACAAAAAAATCATCAAGTGGAGAAGGCATATCCACCCAAAAACATTAAAAAAAAAACAAATATTGCCAAACATTTAAAACCGATTGGGAAAACGATCTAAATTTTAAGGGCTGACTAAAAAGAGGAAAATCCAATGATGAAGCATTTTGTACCATCATGCAATAAAATAATAAATGTTGGTGCTACTGGAAAAATGATATTATTGCGCTATAAAGAAAGGGCCTTATATCAAAAGTATAAGCTAAGGAGAACAGCAAAAGAAAAGGAAGAAAAGAGGAGAAAGGTAGTAAATGAAAAAGTAAAAAGCTACAAATTAAAAGAAGAAATATATAAGAAGATATTCCAAGAAAAATTAGACAATATTTTGAAAGAAGGCAAAAACTGAAAGTATAGAAGATAAGTGGGAAAATCTCAAGACCAACTTAATCATAGCTGCTGAGGAAACTTGCAGGAAGACAAAAATAGCAAATACTAGCATGAGGAGAACTGAATGGTGGGCGGACGAAATACGAAGGAAAATAAAGAACAAAAAAGAAAAATGGAAGAGCGTACAAAGCTCCCTGAAGAATATGAAGTATATAAAGAAAAAATAAAAGAGGTTCAAATAGCTGTGAAAGCAGAAAAAGAAAGGTCATGGAAAAAGTTGGGACTAAAAATGACAAATAATTATAGGGAAAATCAAAAACTCTTCTATGGCGCATTAAAACAGCTCAGACAAAAGAAAGAACACATGATGCCGAATATAAAAGACAAGAATGGAAAGGTAATAACAGAAGAAAACCAAATAATGGAAAGATGGAGAGAACAGCTAACTCATACAGACGTAGACAACATAGTGGAGATACAGAAATAAATGAAAAACAAAAAGTAGAACCGATAACAACAGAGGAACTATGAAAAGCAATTGAAAGAGTTAAATTAGGCAAAGCACCAGGCATCATTGATAAAATTCATGGGAATAAAGGGAATGGTTAGCATGAAAGAACTAATGAATGATATCATAAAGAGAGCAGAAATACCACAGGACTGGAAGAAAGACATTATACTACCAATACACAAAAAGGGCGACAAGAGAAACTGTAATAATTGCCGAGGTATTACTATATCAAGTATTCCTGGGAAGGTATTCGCAAGAATAATAGAAAGAAGAATAAAAACCCAAATAGAACCAACTATGGAAGAGAGACAATGTGGATTCAGGAAGGACAGAAGCACGCAAGACCACATATTCACAATAAGTCAAGTAAGTGAAAAAGTAATCAATAAAAATAGAGAAATATATATATATGCTTTATTGATATGGAAAAGGTGTTTGACAGAATCCAAATAAAGGACGTATGGAGGACATTAAAGGAAAGAGGAGTTGATAGGATAACAATTGATGTAATAAAGGATATGTACAATAATATTACAAATACGGTGAGAACCAATAACGAGGAATCAAAAGAATTTACTACAAGTCAAGGCGTCAAACAGGGATGCCTGTTGAACCCACTGCTGTTCTCAGTGGTACTGGATGAAGCAATAAAGAAAGCCAAGAGAAGAATGAGAAAACTAACATTAGGATACTGGCAAATAAAACAGACTCAACTATTAGAACTTCTATTTGCGGACGACATGGTTTTGATAGCAGAAAACAGAGAAAACCTACAGAACAACCTTGAAATCCTAGAAGAAGAACTGTCAAACATAAATATGAAGATAAATACAGAGAAAACAAAAACAATGATAATTTCAAATAAGAGAAAGACACACGCAATACAATTAAACGGAAATCAACTAGAACAATTGGAACATTTTAAATACCTAGGAGTAATAATTGAATCAAACGGTAAACAAGACATGGAAATAAATGAGAGAATGGGATAAACAGGAAGCTTATTCAACACTATGAAAACAAAATTTTTGGGGAAAAAAGAAATACCGGAGAAGGTAAAAATGGCAGTCGTTAAATCAGTAGTTAGACCTACGATCATGTATAATAGCGAGTCATGGACATTGACTGGAAGACAAAAATCTCGAGTCAATGCTATGGAAATGAGGTTCCTGAGGAAAATAGCAAACAGAAAGAGGACAGGCAAAATAAGAAACGAAACAATCAGACAAAACCTTAAACTAGAACCAATAAACGAAAAAATAGTAGAGGGGCAACTAAGATAGTTCGGGCACGTGTGTAGAATAAAGGAAGACCAAGAGTTAGGTGGGTAGACGAAATCAGAAAAGAAATTGAGAAGAGGATTGACATGGGAAAGTGCACGAAATCTAACACAAGACCGGAAAGCATCGAGACAACAGTGTAAAACTTAACTCCACCAGCCTTACACCTAACGGTAGAAAGGCTTAGGACTAAGTAAGTAAGAAAGTGCCTTTCATATCAAAAGTATAAGCTCGATGAAAAAATAACAAACATTGACAAGCTTTCTTCTTCTTCATGTGCCTTGTCACTTCCGAACATTGGCAATCAACATGGCTATTCTGACTTTGTTTACGGCAGATCTGAATAGTTCAGCATAAGACAATCCGAACCATTGCCTCAAGTTTTGGGGTCACGAGTGTCTTCTCCTCTCTGCTGTCTATTTTCCCTTGAACGATCAGCTGTAGTACTCTATATTTATTGTCTCATAACGTGACCCAACTATTCCAACTTTCTTTTCTTTGAATAATTTTAAAAAGACAAATTCTTTGAAATTGAATTAAATTGAAATTGAAAATGGTCTTTACATTCGATTTTTTAAGTATTCGCCCAATTCTCTCTGTTACCCCCGATATACAGATCTTAGAACGCTTTACTTATACATGCTGTTTCTTCGTCTTTTCTTCTAGATACGTTGTTTATAATCATTAGAAGTGAGCGCATTTTCAATATGAAGAAGTTTACTTTGCAGATGCTGTGCTTCACAAGTTCTCTTCGCCCTCTCCGCCAGTTTTGATGTTACCTTGTTTTTGGCCTGGATGATGATTTGAGTTCCTGTTTAGGTATCTGTCCTTGTGTGTAGGTTTTTGATACACTTTATGTCCTAAGTAACCTTCCTTTCGATTTACTAATAAATCTAGGAACGCTGGTTGTTGATCTTTCTCTGTTTCCATCGTAAATTGAATATTTGGATGTAGTGTGTTTATATAAGACAGGAAATCGTTAAGTTTTTCTACTCCGTAACCCCAAATCAAAAAAGTGTCATCGACGTATCTAAATGCTCCATGAAAAGGTTGGCTACGACCAGGCTTAGTGGGCTTCCCATTGCTACTCCATCTACCTGTTCACAAATTTGGTCTTCCCATAAGTGGTAGTGAGGTAAATACGGTATAATTCCACCATATCCTTGGAAACTAGTCCCTCAATTAAATTCAGAACGTCTTCTAGGGGAACTCTTGTAAATAGGGAAACAACATCAAAGCTAGAAGAATGTCAGATTCCTGTAAAGTTATTCCTTTGATCTTGCCGATGAAATGGGAGGAGTTGATTCCTATTTGTGGTTGTAAAATATCGCCCAGATATTTAGCAAGGCTCTAAGACAGAGACCCTATGGAGCTCACAATAGGGCGAAGAGGTACATCGTCTTTGTGTATTTTCGGTAAGCCATACAAGCGTGGTGGGACTGCTTCACTGTTACATATTCTTGGCCTTGTATCCTCTGGTATGGATGAAGATTTGTCAAAAGCCTAACGCATGTTATCGAAATTAATATAGCCAATTTGATAGCCAACGCATGATAATTGAGCAGCACACAAGAAGTAAACATGAGAGAGAGCTAAAAAAAGAAATGTGT